GAGCCCCGCCGGCAGCGCTCCCGCCCCGACCGAGCTCACCTTCAGGTCATTCTCCGGGAGGTACTTGCACAGCCGCGCTATCTCCACGTACTTGTCCAAGTCTAGGGGCGCCATTTTAGAAATAAGAAGCCCCGACGGCGGTGGCGGCGGCGGCGGCGGCAGCTGAAGTAGCGGCGGCAGCGGCAGCGGCAGAGGCCGAAGCCGGAACTCTTCCTACGTCACGTCCGGCCCGTGGAAGGTGTCTGCGCAGCGGCGTAAAGTTTGACCCAGGTCCGTCCGCTGCCTCGACACGCCCCGCGCCTTCAGCCGCCGAACTCCAGCCGCAGGCCCGGCCCGGAGAGGCTCCTCGGGTCCAAGCCGTGAGACCTGCTGGGACCCGTAGTCTGCCGCGGGGAGGGCTGGGATTTGTAGTTTTGAGTAGTGGCCAGATACTCCTCTTTTTCTCCAGTTTCCTTCCTCCAGACTTTCACCTCAGGGGACCAAGCGAGGTTTTTCCGATCAAAACAACGAAATAGGTAACCCTAGCCATTCCCTGGTTTCTCACTTTAACCCATTTACGCATTCTCTCACCGGGACAGCTTTAGTTAAAAGTTAGGTAAGCCTGACCCTGACCCCCGGTGGCCCTGTTGGTTGGAGCGTCGTCTGATGCGCTAGAAGGTTGCGGGTCCGATTCTGGTCAGGGCACATACCTGGATTGCCCATCCGAACCCCGCAGGGGGCTTGTACGAGAGGCAACCGATGGACGTTTCCCTCGCCACATGGATGTTTCTCTCTCGCCCCCTTCCCCTCTCTCTAAAATCAATAAAAAAACTATTCTCCGGTGTGGATTTTAAAAATGGATTGGAAAAAAAAGAAAATTAGGTAAGCCTGGCCATAGTAACCTACTTGCACCTTTCCTAGGCTTGTGAAAGCCTTGCCTAAATCTGTGGCAGAGATGTCAGACTACCAGTCTTCCAGCCTGTAAGGAAAGGAAACAAATAATAAAGTGTTTCTTAAGCTAAATGCTATATAAACGCTGTTTTTCTGTTTAATCCTCATAACGACTGAAAGAACGGCAAGACTCGGAGTGATTAAGTACCTTGCCCCAAATCTCAAAGGGAATAGGCAGGAGGAGCCTAGATTGGGACAGGGTTAGCTGGTTTAAGTATACTTCAATGTGAGTTCCACCGGGACAGAGGGTTTTCGTTGAACCCTCAGCGCCAAGAACAGGACCTGGCACTAGTATACCTTCAACATTTGGTTCATTCAACAGCTCTTATTGAACACCAACTATGTACCAAGTACAGTTGTAAGCACTTGGGATATTCAGCAAACAAAATAGACAAAGATCCCTATCCTCAACCCATAGCTACATTCTAGTAGAGGAGACAGGACAGAAACAATAAATAACTGTACAGTATATTAGAAAGCAATAAGTGAGGGGGGGAACCCTAGAAGGATAAGAGAGATGGGGTGGGGTGATGCATTTTGAAGAACCAACAAAGGGGTG